ATAAATAGTTATGAAACTTGATATTACAGTAGAAGAAAGAACTTCGTCATTAGTAGTCATAATAACAGAACAATTTATTTTTTCTTTTAGCTTATTCTATTTTTTATTGAATCTTTCAAACTTTGTTTTTAAATATTTTTCTATATTAATCTTTCTTTTTTTATTTTTTTTTTTTGAAATATTTAAATTATATTATAAGATGTTTCTTAATTTTAAAAATTTTTAATTTACAATTTGATTATCATAGAAAATCAATCGAAAAAGTTGATGCTTAGAATTTTTTGTTACTATTGGCAAAATATATATATTAAATTATGGTTTCTATCTTTTATAAATAATAAGAACACTACTCAATGAGATATGACTTTTGAATCTTATTCGGGAGTACATTATTAGAGAAGAGAAGACAAGGTCAAACATTTACTAAGACATCTCATCGTTTTGGCAGCAATCACGATGGACTTTCTATTTTAAAAATAATATAAAAATTTTAGAAAAAAACTCACATAAAGTTTTTATATTTTCAGATTATATAAATTCAAATTACAAAATCTTAAGTACTATAAATATGCAAAAAATTTTTGTGATATACAAAAAAAAAAATAGAAATTAATTGATGCGAAAATTTTCAAGAGGAACGAACATACATGCTATACCTGATATTCTTAGAAGACAGTTTCAAAATCATTTGGCGAATTATAATCTTTTGTTAGCCTTTATATTTTTTTTTATTTTTCTTTGTAATTATTAAATGTATTTGTCGAAGTATTAATTTCTTTAAAAAAAAAAAATGATTGCATTATTTTACTCAAATTCTTTAAAAGATATTACAATTCGATTTTCAATTTTGTTTATTTTTTTCATTATACATTTATTTTTCTCATATATTAAAATAAAATATATTAGAAAAATCCGTGAGGAAACAGTATTTTAACAAGTTCGCTAATTTTTTTATTGGAATGATAAAATATGTTTTTAAAATGAATATAAACATGAAAAATTAATTTTATACAGTTTTGTTTTATATAAAGTGGAATGTTATTCTATTACTATATATTTTCATGGATTGTTCTACAATTGTATATAGAATAAAAAGATGAATAGAAAGCAGTTAGAAATGATAAAATTCTACTAAGATACCAGATATCTTTCGATGGTTTTACTGGAAAGGAATTAGAAGAAATGATGAAGGAATAATAAATCTTAATCTTTTTTTTTAACTCCTATAATTTCCAGAATAACGAGAAAGCCTTATTGATTATTTAGAAAGAATTTAGGAAAAATCCTCTTAATCTACTAATTATACATATCATTTTTTTCTTAATTAATTCAAAATGCTGTATTATACATACAATTTCATTCTTAGAAAAAGATTTTTTTTCAAGACAGTTCTTTTTCTAATATATTAAAAAATAAATCATTAATTTAAAATAAAAAAATGATACAAATCATTTAAATTTTTATTTTAATTTTTAAAATAATACTAAATATTACAATAAATTAATATAATAGTAATAGTAAATTTATTTTTATTGTAAAGTATTTCGAATATTAAATATAGAAGAAATATTATTAAAATAGTACTAGCAATTTTCTAATGAAGAAAATTAATACGCGACAAAATTTCGTGATTAATAAGACTTGTCATTTTGTTGCAGATCTCGTGCGATGTACAAACGAACCCAACGTGTCGATACCTCAGTTGGCGAATCTGTTAATAGAACGATCGCAGAACACAAATTGGACAGTCGTTTTCAAAGCTTTGATCACAGTGCATCATATGCTTTGTTACGGCAATGAGGTAAAAACAATTTCGTATTTATAATCAGACCTAAGAGTAACAACTTTCCTAATAAGTGACCTAATAACTTCTTAAGAATAATCAGATAATTTTTTTCCTTTTGTCTCTCAATGAATGATAATTTGAAAATGATAATTAATGAAGATCTATAATATAAAATAAAAGACAATTTGTGAAAAGAGTACTTTTAAATTCTTATTAATTGACTGTCTGTTATGGAAATTTTCAATTGTTTTATAATATTTTATTGAAAATTGATATTGTTTTACTTGTAAAATTTAATGAATTTATAATATTTTATTTTAATAAAATAATGTTTAAAGTTTTAAATGTGATCTTTATTATTTATTATTTTTTATGAATAAAATTTAAAGATTTGTCCATAAAAGAAAGAGTATTATTTACATTTAAAGGCTGTTTAATTTATTTTGGTTCAATAATGACTTGAAAAAAGGAAGTGTCGTCGCCCTTGTCAGTCGCCTGTGCGTGAATGTACACGGGATCGAATAATATGAATCCGTGACTAGAATCTAACATTTACAGTTTGTATATATAATTCAATAAAACAGCAACTGTAACATAATCATTTTTTTAGAAAATTACATTAGCGAAACTAATGTTAATAATTTGATTAATGATTTTTTATCTTAAAATATTATATTGTTTATCATGATTCTAAGTAAAAAGATTTTTAAGTAAAAAAAGTAGTTAAGTAAAAAAAGATTTTTATAATTTTTTTATATTTTTTTAATATTAAGAAAATCTTAAAAAATTATGAATATTTTTTCTAATGTAAAATTAATTATATTTTATAAGATTTTAAAGTTAATTTTAAATTAATGAACAAAAAAATAGAATATAGTAAATTATTTCGGAGAAATGATTTTAACGAATTCAACAATTTTTCTGTTACAGAGGTTTACACAGTATCTAGCATCCAGCAACAGCACGTTTCAACTCAGTAATTTTCTCGATAAAAGCGGCGTTCAAGGTGATCACATTGTGTAAAAGAATCTTCTTGCATTAACTTCTGTCGAGTGGTTCAATTAGATGCTCGATTCCGGTTAATTCCCTGTCAATGTTCATTGCCCCTTATTTCTTCTTTTTTTTAAACTTTATTCTTCTAATATTGATCCTGAGTAAATAGTATTTGATTTTAAAGAGTATATATTTATATGTAAATATATATATATATATATATATATATATATATACACTATATATATACACA